AGTGCAGCACCCCTGGGTTCCAGTGGAGACTTTACCATGTGCTAGCTCATGAGAGCTGAATGCGTGCCTTAGTTTCCTGGCCAGTCGTCGGGGTGGGGGGTGACTTCTGTCTCCAGGTTGTGGGAAACAGTGGGCACTTCCAGGAGCCAAGGTATCCTCCTGAGACTGTGTGTATTCTTTCTTTTCCTGCCCTGTGGAGTACCTGCTAAAAGAGGCACTGTGATCATCACTGTTTGACAAATGAAGAAACACAAGTCCACGGAGGTTATAGAACTTGCCAAGGTCACATGTGTCTTGAATGAGAGAACCAGGGGTTACAGGGTGATAGAGGGTGGACCACATGCAACCACTCTGCTTAAATACCAGCAATACAGGATGACCGACTGGGGAGCAGCAGGGAGCAAGCTTTTGAAGAGGGGACCGCTGAGCTGAGACCTGAGTTGAGAACATGCCAGGCATCTCATTTAAAGTGATGGCAGAGCCTGGTTGGGAATGAGACTTCTGGGTCTGCAGGGAGAACGGAGGTCAGTGTACCCAAAGCAGAGTGAACAGAGCAGAGAACCAGACAGGCTGAGAGAAGTGAATGCATGCTGGGGGCTGTTCTGAGGGCTGAGGTTTGTTCATAAAAAGCCACCGGAGTTGGGGTGCAGTGGTACGCACCTATCAACCTAGCGGCTCAGGAGGCTGAGGCAAGAAGATTGTGAGTTCAAAGCCAGCCTCAGCAATTTAGTGAGACCCTTTCTCTAAATAAAATATTTTAAAAAGGGCTGAGGATGTGGATCAGTGGTTAAGTGTCCCAGGGTTGAATTGCTGGTACCAAAAAAAAAAAAAAAAAAAAAAAAGCCATTAAGCCATTGAAGAAGCTACCAGAGACTTTTAAACAGGGCAATGACATGATTTGATAGAGGATTTTAAAGAATCATACTGGTGGCCTCGTGGAGGGGATTGAAGACCATTTGGGAGATTTCTTCCATAGTCTAGTGCCCTCCAGGTAGCTGTAGCAATGGAAAGAAGTGGGCAGAGGTTTTGAAATGGAGCTAACTGGATTTACTGGTGGCCTGGATATGATGAAGGACAGAGAGTTAGAGATGATACCAGGGTTTTTAGTTTTGGCCATTGAGAGGCTAATAGTAGCATTTACCCAAGAGAGGAAAGCTTATTAGAAACAAAAAGTGGGGCAGGGCCCACATGAAGTCTCTTGGACACGCTTGTTCCATTTGAGATGTGTATATGAGACGTCCAGATGGCAGTGTCTAGTAGGCAGTTGGCTACTTGAATGTAGACAGAGCTTGGGAGTAGTCTGGGCTGAAGATAGCAACGTAGGAGTCACTGGTATGTAGAAGTTGGGGATGTGTGGGAGAAGGGAGACACTCAGGATACTGCAAAGGTTAAATGCTTTGCAACAACATTCAAGTTGGGTTGTTGTTGAACATAGTCTCTCATTTGGAAGTAAAGGTCAAAGTTGTATTAACTCCATTGCTGCAGTGGAAATTCTGTCTACAGCCCAGGGACTTCATTCTGCAGGGGACTGTGGTGTTTCTGTACGCATGTGCTCATTGGTCTGTGTGCTTAAATCCAGTCCTTCCCTGAATGCTGGCCTTGGGTCCCTAAAGTACCCAAGGCATAGATGTGGGGCCACTCACTCACTTATTAGAAGGTATTGGTGACCCAGATCTCGAGAAAGGGCCAAGCCTTACACAAGAGCAAAAATCCATTCTTTAAATTAGCTTCAGAATCCATGAACTCAAATACAGTATTAAAACTCTTCATATTTTTAAGTACAGAATTGATGGTTTTAGTTATATATTAAAAGCATATTTTGTAAACTTTTAAATTCAATAAGAATTTCATTTTTATTAACTCCGTATTTTTTTTCTGTTGTAAATCAAATTTTTCTTTGCATTTGGATAAGAGCTATATGTTAATTTGTGGGTGGCCTGATTACAAATTTATGCTTGAGAAGTATTCAGAAACATATCTATTGCTTTTCATACAAATTATTTCATTTCTTTCTGTTGCCACAACATTCCTCACTCTGTTCCTGTTGCTAAGGCCTCTGGAATGTCCCAATACAGAAAAAGGATATAGAACATTTTGTTTGTTTGTTTGTTTTTCCCTGAAGAAATTTTATTTAAATTATCTTGTATGCTCTTTGCTTCCAAATATGGGTATGTGTAGTAAAAAAATTAGAAAGCTAAAATTATAATTGCTGAAGAATTTTATAATAGGAACTCAGTTCACGGGGTAGGATGAACTGGGCTTGTGTATATGTTTCTTTCCTCTGAGGGGTGGTGGCACATGGCACACATGCTCATTAGGAAGATGCTGTGTGCTAATGAGAGACTAAGAGAACTTACAGGTCGCGCAGAGCTTGAGTCCTGGTCATGCTGCTTTCTTGTTGGGTGATATTAGACAAGTTTATTTCTTTATAAGTAGAATGAGGATTATACTGTAAGCTTATTGTTAAAAATAAATAATGGGATCAGGATATGAAGATGGGGAGGGGACGAGGGTAAATGGAAATGATCAGTGCAGATGTGTACATGTACGGAAGTAATCACAGTGAATCCCATTATCTGTACAGTTAATATGTGTCCATAATAATAATAAATCAACTTTGAGATGGGACAAACCAATATATAAAGTGCTTAGCCCAGGACCTGGCACACAGTAGTCAACTGTCATGGCCATCGTATCAGTTGTCTGTTGATCTTAAGTTTGAGGAAATTGAAATTTTTATAGAAGTGTAGCTTCTTCGTCCCCTACAGAATGACCCTGCCTTCTTAGTTTTACTAACTCTAAGTCACACATACAAAATGATCAAAGAAACCAAGATAGAAAGGGAACCCTCTTCCTTATGGCAAACGTGAATCCTTGCTACTTGAAAGGATCTCTATATCTTGGTATTTATCAAACTGCCTTATTTTTAAACGGGTCCCCAGAAATGTCTAGTGTCTGGCAAAGGGATACATTTTTAAATAGCATTCCTTGTAAGCAATGTAAAAAACTACACAAACTATATCAGGACAAAAACTAAATGAAGACTATGTATTTAAGGCTGCTGTAATTACTGTTTAATCAATAAAACTTATTAATTTGATTTGATAATTATAGATTTCTCGTATTTTTCAACTATAAATTGTGAGTTTTATACCACTTCTGTAATTTGGATTTTCCTTATTAATAGGCCTATCAAAGATAGTAAGCACAAGGATATCATGGAGCTTTGGATAAACTACCTTAAATTTTACTGTTGAGAATGAAATGTCATGTCAGAAACAGTAGCCGTGGAATATGGCTTACTGTGTGTATACCAGTACACACAGAACCTTTCTCCTCCTCCATGGGCACGGTCTTTACCAACTCAGTGTGCGCATGCTTTCAAGGAAAACAACACGTTGTTTGGCTCCAAATTTTTTTGTTAAATAATTAAGCTTAGCTACAGAAGTTAGCATTCTACTGGAAGCTTCTTCAGTTGTCTGACCTGTTTATGTAATCAGAGGTGTTTAGCCTTGATAGTCCAATTTATTGGAGTTGGAATCTGGATGAAATGTTTAGAAATCAGGGTTTTTTTTCTTCAAGAGGGCCCAGACCCCAGCCATCCTAAATCCCAGCTGTTGACCTTAGACAAAGTGCTTCACCTTCCTAAGGCAGTTTCTTCTTTAGTAGAATAAGGTTATAATGGTACCTACTTAAGTAGCTGTGAGTATCAAATGAAAGAGCAACTCATAGAAATGGGTCGGTGCTGCATCTGCATCCCAGAATCAATGCTGGACCATGTTGGTTTCGGATCCATAGCAAGCCATCTGCAACTCAGTGTAATAGAACTATTTAAAAAAACTGAGATGCAGCCACATGTGACTATCAGATCTGTCATTTACTATTTTAGAAAATATCATCATTTAGTATCTTAGGGCATTTTCTTCTCCGTATAAAAACCACCAGTATAACCCACACTAGAGAAAGTGAAATTAAATTTTTAAGAAAGAAAGCAGATGCTCATCAGCTTTTGGGGTCTTTTAAACATTTGCTGAATTGAAATGTGCCACCTATTCGTTTATAGCAAATATTCTAAATAGTACATGTAGTGTAAAATACTTGTTTAAAATCACTGATGTTGAAATCTTTAAAAAGTTTAGGTTCTCCATCTGAACTTTACGCTGTGTTCCCTAGATTATTGTTCTGTGAATAACATGAACCATTGTTCATGGTAGGGACTTTTAATCATATTTACAATGAATAAAGTTACTTTTAATCTTTATGCTTATGCAGATAGGTTAGCTTATTATTGTCAAGTTGACATTATTGTTAAAAACTATCTCCTGCTCGATTCTGGTTGGTAACCAACTATAAATAATAATGTGAAATGCTGTGTTTGTGCTGAAGCTCTGTTTGGTGGCATCAGTGTATAAATAAATGGACTAGAGGTGATTGTGACCTGGGGGGAAATATTTCTTTATTTATTTAAATATATATTTAATATAAAACATACCTGTATATAATATCTATAAATATAATATAGAAATAAATACAAAATATATGTCTGAATTATATACATTCATGTTAGTGAAGCCAGCAATTTTCCTCTTCGGTGACATCTCTGTTCCCCGTCTTAACTTATCCATAGGACTTGGGGACCAGCTGACTGGAAACAATCATAGTTAAACAAATAAAACTATCAGATTATACAGCTTTGAGGATTACTGAGCATTTTATATGATTTCAGATTCTTACCACAACCCTTGAAAGAGTTCACTTAACGTTGCTTTATTGTATGAATGTGTTGTTTGCATTTTAATAGATTTGTTTTATTACCCCTCACAATTTTTGGTGCATGTTATATTAACCCTCTGTAAAAAAGTCTGTTCCTTTTAAGCTGGAGTGCACTTGTCAGAGAACGCTGATGAGAAGGTGACTCCTTTGGAGAGTAGCATTCCTCCATGTGGCTTTACAGAAGTCATAACCAGATGAGTAAGTGACACTCTTTTTCTTTGTTGCAGACATGCCAATATTTGGTCTTTGTCCAGCCCATGATGATTTCTACTTGGTGGTGTGTAACGACTGCAATCAGGTTGTCAAACCACAGGCATTTCAATCACATTATGGTAAGTGGTTAACTATTTGAAAATTACTTTTTAAAGGGAAAAGGGAAAAGTGGGGTTAGACTGCAGGCCAGTAATGGCACATAACATCCCTCCTTTCACGGGAAGTAGACTGTCGAATTCATACAGAGGGTTAATACCTATCAGATGTTGGGTGTTTTCTGCGTTTTACTGAAAGTGATCTGCTAGTGATTTTCTATTTTTTTTTTAATTGAAATTAGGGAAAGTGTATTTTATAAGTTGTCTCTTGAAATACCACACCTATGTTTCCTTCTTGAGTCTCTGGTTGTGAATTTGGTAGATTTTAAAGTTACACACACACACACACACACACACACACACACACACAAACACAATAT